AGCCCGCTCAGATCTGCACCAGGGCTGCTCTTGACCAGCTGGTTCCTGTCGTGTGCTGACTGCTGGCCACACCTTGTGTTTAAATAGCAGACATGGGTAGCTTCGAGTACATACGTGTGTGTGTGTATATATATATATATATATATGCCTGTGTATACATGCATACACATGCATACCTGCAGGAGGAAAGAAAGCACTTCCTTTCCAGATGACCGGCTGAAGCCTTAGAGCATGAGATCTGATTCTGGCCAGCGTGTGGATATAGAGGAGCGAGTGTTGACAGCCGATTGTCATGTTGAGTCATTAACTGTGTGGTGCTTCCCCACAGGGCTGTTGTGCATTAAATGCTCATCTCAGGGCACTACCAACAGATCAGTGTTTATAAATATGTGTGTGTGTATGAAACTGCACTATAAACAATTTATGACTGACTGTATAGTTACATTTTGTTATACATAACAGTAGGTACAAATTGATTATAGTGCAGTTTAAAATAAGCTTATTTAAGTGGCATTTTAACTATTTAAGCTTTGTCAGCTCTCAGTGGGGCTGTGTAATTATACAGAAATGGAGATGGAGAGATGCAGTATTCAAACCTTTCACAAACCCTACTGCAAATCAGGATGTTGCAGGAGGTTATAGCCAGGTACTAGGCAGGGGAGGTAATTTTAGTTAACCTGTTAGATGTACTAGAAAACTTGAGAAGACAAGATGGTGATAGTAGTGTGATTTCCATTTGATGGGAAAAGTGAGGACAATAGACGTACAAAACACAGAAGTGAAGGGTCAAATGGGAGAACTGTGGAGTCAGCAAGAAACGAGGGTAGAGGATTGACTGGACTCTTGTAAAGAGAAAAAGGTCCTGAATTCACATATCAATTAGAAATCATGAATGTGCACCAACAACCTGCATCCAAGCGTGTAAGACTTGGTGAGGTGGGGAGACAGCTGTTAAAGGGTGACCTGAAAAAGTCCAGAGAAGAGCTGTTCCGAAAGGGATGGTTTGATCAGGAGCTGCGTTCAGTGCTTTGAGGATCAAGTCCTCCTGTTTATCTGAGGAAGAGTTTGTAAGGAACCTTTTCTTCCCTGTTTGATCCTCCCCACGTGTTGGAGGAGTTCTCAGCCTGTCGTCTTAGTAACAGTGTCCTTTCCCCACTCAGCATTGTTATCTCCATCCCATCTTAGCATTTGCCCTGACACGCTATTTATAGTTGTGTTAAAATCCATGAAAGATGTGCAGTGGGGTTTTTTTTTGTGTGCAGCAGCAGTTTGCACTCACCCTTGTTGTTAATGTAGCAGCTTTTTTGCTTTGAAGAAGCTGGGGCTGGAGAACCGATTGCTGCTTTGCCTGTCCCCAGAGCTGCCCAGCACCGGACTTCTCGTGTGCTCTTGTGAAATTAACTGTGCCCTCCTGTTCAGATCGTGTCCTTACCTGGACTGGTACCTGTCCCCACTCTTGGAGAAGAACTGTGTAGGTATACATAGCTCCTTGAAGGATGTGGCTGGGGGCACTGTGTGCCAGGGTCACTTTGGCATAATAGCAGCTATAAAAACAATTCTGAGAAGTCATGCGAAACATGAGGGAAAAGTTAATCACTTGGTATGTGAGTCACTAGCTAATTAGACCAAGATTTATTTCTCCCAAGTGAAGGCTGTCTCTTTAAAGTGACCCAAAGTGCTGATGCTGGCTAGCGAAACCCCAGTGTTTCCATTTTCGCTGAAGAAGCTCCAAGCTGAGGCAGAGGGCAGATTTAGGCAGGTGATACCAGGAACAGGCACAATCGCAGCCGTTCCTTCAGGGTAAAAGGGAGCAGGAAACAGCCCCATCAGGCATCTCCCAGAGCTGCACATGCATCTCCGAGGCTCTGTGGTTAAGGGATGGACACACAGCGGTTCTGCAAAACAGAAGACAGAGGAAGTCTCGGTATCTTTTATCAGTGGCTTCTTCCCATTAGAGCTGTTTCCCTCATTTCTTAACCTAAAAGACAGAAGGGTAGAGTGGTGGGAGTTTGTTCCTTAATTTCGCAGAAGCAGTGGAACAGACTTGGCACCTCTCATGGAAGAGCTGCAGATGTGGTCTCTCACAACCATTTCTTTTAGGACAGGCCTTCTAAACTTTTATTTTTTTAACCTTACAGCACACTGGTCCCGAGCAAATAAAACTGGCTGCTTCTGCCTCAAGTATGGGGCTGTACATCTTTCCTAACAAGTTATTGTCTGGCATGCTAGGAATACCTTTACCACTTTTTTTTGACAAAGCACCCAGGAAAACATGAACAGGCAGAGGGAAGCTCGAGTGGCTTGGTAGTTTATTTGTGATTGACTTCATATTATCTGGGGCACTACAGAAACTGGGGAAGGATTTGATCAATAAAGGGAACTATCGTACGTGCTGAGGATCATGGTGCTTTAGTCGCTTGACCAAGTGGATTGAAGTTGAAGTTTGTCTGACTGATCCCAGCTTAGGGCTGGCTGTACGCAAAGCAGATCTGAGTTAGCAGGGGGCCAGTGCTGCACCAAGATTAGGCTTTGTGGCGTTCATGATGACTCTGCAAAGTCTGCACAGCGCTCCCTGCTTTCTCTTCCCTGGCCAGACCTGGGGCAGGGGCTCCAGAGGGCCCTGCTGCTCACATCCTCGGCACTGCTAATCGTAACCCTGTTGAGCTCATTGATCATTGGGTTGGCCGTGTGTTAATATCCAAGAAGTCAAATCCCTCAGTAAATTTGGATAATTGAACTGCTGAAGGGTCAATTCCAGGCCTGTTAGTACTTTTGATGATGTGAAGTGTTCACTGAATGTATTTCTGTGTGCTGCAGCACTCAGTCCTGTGGATGATGTGACAAGATTGTCTCTTTGGTCCTTGATCTCTGCCTTGTCTTAGTACACACAGCTCCACAAATTGTTTGATATTTAAGGGCAGTTATATCTCATCCTTCTTGCTCCACTGAAGCTGAAATTGGGGCTTATACACAAATTTCCCTTCAGACACTGAATATGTGAAGGAAATCTAATTTTTACCTCTTACCTTAGCTGCTGGATAAGGGTGCTTTGAGCTGTTGAGTAGCTGTTGTTCCAAACCAGTAAAATGCAGTCATGGTTACTGTGATATTTTCCTATAGCTTTTCAAGAGTTCTTAGGTTCTCCAGATCTGCAGGTCTGATGCTAGAAAAATGTATAACAACAAAAAAAGCTGGGATATCTTGAAATGGCTTTTACTTAGGAGGTGTGTTACACTGAGCTAGCAGTGCAGCCAGTGATTACATGGATATGAAGTGAAACGTCACCAGAAGGTGGAATTCCCTGAAGGCAGTAGAAGTTTTGCCATCAAGGGAAATTCTGACCTGGAGTTCAAAGGCTTCGTAGCCTTAAAACAAACAAAACCCCAGATGTTGCATTCATGACTGTAGGAGTAAATAATATGGGATGTTTATTCATCATATCAAATAGCTACCCTCGACCTTCTCATTCATAGCAGATTTTAGTGAATAAGTCTTTAGAAAACTGTTCCTTCTTAAAGAGGAAGCTGTGCACGAGAAGGTCAAAGCAGTGGGAGGCACAGCTGAAAACCAAGAGCGTCACCTTTAACATCACTCCACAGGAAAGCATCCTGGAAGGAGACAAAGTAAAGAGAAAGGTGTAGATGCTGTCACCAGCTCCCACGCTTGCACATTATGGGGAAGCAGCCTGCCTGCAGTCTGGAGCGTGGGAATGGTGGGTCCCGTCTCTGATCCACGCCTAGTGGGAAAACCAAAATCCTTCTAGGGTGGGTCTGCCTTCTTGCAATACTGATAGTTCCTCTTCTCTCTGACAGGGCAACTGTACTCTGGCAAGATGCTCTCTCTCTGGTGAGTCTTACACTTTTATTTCATTTCAAACTACCTATACAGAACAGAGCTGATGATATAAATTGTTAATAGGCTTGATTGGGCTTTATTTCTGTCAATCTAATGAAGAAACAGTTGGTGAAATGAGTTGTGTTTCCATGTGAGTGCCTCCCTTGCCTGATGTGCATGCTGCCTGATCCATTTGGCTCTGGTGAAGATCTCACAGCAGCAGCACGATGTATTTCAAGCATTGCAGTGCTTGAAGCACATGCTGTTGTGAAGTCTAGTTCTCTGATAAACTCCTTTAAAAATGATGGGTGAATGTTAAGTGACATGTTAAATTCAGTATGCCTGTGAACTCCTCTTCAGTGCTTGAGCTGCATTTTCCCAGAGCTCTGTTTTTTCTAGCTGTACTGTGTTTATATAGCATTACAACACTCACTTCTGATTCCGCTTTGAGAAACCAGTTAAATCTGTTTCCCTTTTCCGCTTTCTAGAGTTCCAGTATCAGCTCTTTAGTAAAGGATGGGGTCAAAATTCTATCTCTTTTTAAAAAAGATCAAGTGGGGAAATGGTTTTTCCTTCTGGCATCGTGTAATTGAGATAATTGTGTTCTCCAGTTGCTACACTGACTCTTTAAGATCAGTCTGGAAAACTGCCCAGTGCCCTGAAAGAGACAAAGGACAGGAGTTCAGTGCGTAATAAAAATTGCAGTGTCAGGGCATGTGAGCAGTGTGGGAAGGGGACAGTGGGGTATGTGAAACTGAGAAGCTGTGCAAGTGCCTCCCTCCTGTGAGTTTCAGAAGAGAAGTGTTCTTGGGCCAGATGGTGGACAGAGAAGAGGGGTGATGGTGGCTGCTACTCTGCCCTGCACCCCATTTTCAGTCTGTTTTTCCTCACGTGTCTATGTGACTGAGGCTTCCTGGGAGTGCCACTTGAGGGACTTATGCCTTGCTCCTATTAGGAACCCTTTTGTGTTGGTGGAGATAACTCAGCAGCTACTGAGGTTTTAGCAGTCCTGGAGGTGTCCCTCATAGCTGTTTCCTGGTCTTGTTCTGACTGGGGCAGCTGCTGCTTTGTTTGCCCTTTTCAAGGTTATCTTTTTTAGCTTTTAGAACTGTTATTTCCCATCTCTGTAAATCTAAATGAAGACAAGACCACCGTTCTTGGTAGGCTCTGGGCAGGCTTGCTGGCACTGAGATGCCTCTGTATAGCTGTATTATCCACTTAATCCCAGGCTTCTTTCAGGGTGGACATTGGTGTCCTCTGCACTCTCTTACCTGACAGGGACACGCGAGGGCTGGACGGCTGGATAACGTTCCTGTGGGGTAACACCATTCTCATTCACAGGTGTGGCTGGGAGCCAGGGACTGGCTTACACCAACAGCAGGAAGCTCTTGTAAGTACCCCCAGGAAAGCTGCTATGTGGAGAGGCTGAGGCTGCTCTAGCCCTGATAGTATTTGGGGACTGGAAGGCAGATTATTGTTGGCTGTCATAAAATCCCTGTGCACATTGTAGGGGCGTGGAGCTAGCCCTTACAAAATCTAGCTTTTGCCATTCAGGAACTATGGCGAGCTTAAAGAAAATCAGCTTTGTTTGGAACCAGGTTCTGAGGCAGGGAAGGGACAGGAATAAGGGGACTGGTGATAGATGGATCTCTACCCTTTGATTGTCTCACTACAAGTCTGATTTGCTCTGTGGTGGCTTCCTGGTAGGATTTCTGTCAGGAGAAGTGGAGTGGTTTAGGGAGCTGTTGTTCACATGGAAATGTTTGCATTGCTGAGGTAGTCTTGTAAAAGTGTGTTTGGGGAAATAAGAGCGCATCCATAAAAACCTGAAATGCTGCTCTGTTTGCACCAGGTAGCCTATGTTAGAGGAGATGCTAAAGCACGTGTGCTTCAGATTTCCAAATGTGGTGGCCATCCTTTGGAACACTTGGGATTGCCAGCTGTCTGTGAAGGGATGTGGTGGAGAGAAATAGCTGTCTCTTGGATGTGTTGCTATAGGCAGTTTATGGTGCTTTCTCTTTTTTTGGAGCAATCTAGCAACTTCTGTAGAGATGACAGTCCTGATCTGGAGGTAAAAAATGGTTCCTGCATTAGTCTTGGGTTTAGGGTGGACTGGCTAGATCAGCCTTTTGTCAGTACTTAATCGACAGGGGTTCTGTCGAGTTGTCTCCTTAAATTAAAATTCCTTAAGTGCCAGTTCTCACTGAGTTTCTGAGTGCACTGTTGATGGTAAACTGTAATGTTTCCTTTCTTAGTGGGATTGTTGCAGCTTGAGCAGTAAGTAGGAGTCCCTTGGAACAAATACATCAAAACAGCTGAGCAGCCTTTCAGATCAGTTAAGCAAATGTAAATTCTGTACTTGAGCTTGGTGCCAGCAGCCTGCAGAGGAACGGACTTCTGTGTTCATATCTTTCTCTCTTTCTGCAGAGTAAATAGCTCCAGTGTCTTCGCTGTCCGTTACTTCAGAACCACTGCAGTACGTCGTAAGTAAAAAGTCAGGAGTCAGCGGGATGGCTCTTGTGCTGCCTGTTGCTGTCTTGACAACAGCTGGAGCTACCTTTTCCATCCTTGGTGTAGGCCCACTGCTGTCCCACCTCAATGGATGGCTGAGGGTTTATGTCCCAGAGCCCTAAGGATTTTGTCTGACATTCCTGTCACAACGTGACTTTCAGTCAGATGGGAATTTCTCTTTCGTTGAAATGTTAATCAGTGTTGAAGCAAGGAGAAAGCCAACATTTGATGTCTGTTGACCCACGCCCTCTAGTAGAGTCCTGATGAGAAGAATGAAGCAATGCCAGAAGTTTTGAGCTCCGAAGGTGTTTAAGTCTGTCTGTCTCTCTCTCAGGGGATGACGTGGTTACGGTGAACACACCAGCCTTTGCAGAATCAGTCACAGAAGGAGATGTCAGGTGGGAGAAAGGTAAGCAGGTGCCTCTTCCCAGAAATTCTCAGCACTGCTGCTGCTGCACTGGACAGCTTGGGGATGGATTGTATTTACTGACTGACAGCCTGCTCTGTGCCTTTCAGTCCGGGACTAATGAGGCAGTTAATTGCAGTTCTCCTAAGGGATGAGGGTTGCAGTTACTGCCTTGGCACCTCTCTGTCATGGGTGATGTTGGGTGAAGGATGATCTCTAAACTGGAATCAGACTCTGCAGTGGATTGATTGAGCTAGAATTTTCTTTAGGAGTTGTGGAGAACTGGGGTGAGAATATTCTGGGTTAGTGGGGGAGACTGCTGTGGGTTAAAAAGGGAGGCTGGAACACACCTTCCTCCTCACAGTGGTCTTCATATCTATCATTCAGCTGTTGGAGACACAGTGGCTGAAGATGAAGTTGTGTGTGAGATTGAAACAGACAAGGTAGGAGTTTTCTGGACCAAACCTTTTTCTAGTTCAGTATGGCTCCTCTTCCACTAAGAGCTTCCAGAGCATGCACGTCCTGCCTGTGTCTCCTGCTCCCTTCATGGAGAAAAGCTTTTCTCATCTAGTGAAAGCTGGCTGTGCCTTAAGCGAGCATTCTTTGATAGCTCTTCCTTCCTCATATATTTGATTATGTATCAGTGGTGCTGATGTTTGTTGGAGCTGCAGCTCCACTCCTCCTTCCAATTCCGGTGCTTTGAAACCTGTTTGTGTTTAAACAGAGGAGAAATCTGCAGATCCATAGGATGTCTTCATATTGTTTTAAATTTAGCTTTTAGGTTTACTTACTCCTTAAAGGACTCCTAAGCTTTGAAGTTCTTGGTAAAACTCTCTGCCAAGTTCTGCCTCGTATTGCTGTCAGTAAAATACTGGCAGCAGGTCGATTCTTGGTTGTACCCTGGAGCAGGATGATCAGGCTATATGTTACACTGCCAGCATCTCCTAAAACTTCTAAGTATTGGCACAAAATCTCGCTAGAGGGTGTGAAATCTGGTGCAAATGGTGTGAGACAGAATCACTGTCTGTGCCAAATCGCAATATGTATCCGCCCATGTTGGCATCTTTTCTTGAGCACTTGTTCTCCACCCAGTGTTTGGGGGTATTTCACTTATTTTGCTTTTTGCAGACATCGGTGCAAGTTCCAGCCCCGGCAGCTGGTGTGATCGAAGCCCTTCTGGTACCCGACGGTGGCAAAGTCGAAGGGGGGACACCTCTGTTCAAACTCAGGAAAACTGGAGGTAAGTCAGCCATGTGTAACTTGCATAGGCCTTCTGTGATTCCTGTTTCCACGAGTCTTTTTCTGAAGATGGAAGCAAAGTATAGGGATCTTGAGAGAGGTTAAATATTTCCTCTATCTGTCTCTGTAGCTGGAAGAAAATACTCCTATTTTGTTGTCCAATAGAAAAGCATAATTTTAGTTCTTCTGAAGGGGGAACTTTGCTTTTACTCCCTCTGAAGGAGCCTGGAGCTCTAAGCTAAAATTAATTGAGAATTCCCCTGTGAAAACTTCCTTCTCTTCCCTCATCTCTTTAGCATCCGGTCTCCTGCACAGTAAGATCCAGAGTGTCAGTGACTAAGACACTTTCACCATGGGATCCTCTTGTGGTGGCTCCTATCAGTTCAGTAGCGCTGAGAACAAAAAGGCACTCTGCTGGATAGTTAACTTTTATCACGTTGATTGGGCTCAGAGATCCCTGACAGTGGAAGCTGTGGTTGCCCTCACCATGATTATTCTTTGTCTTTCAGCTGCTCCTGCCAAGGCCAAACCAGCAGCAGCCCCTCCTCCTCCTGCAGCCCCTGAACCGGTAGCTGCAGCTCCTCCTCCCCCTGCTGCAGCACCAATTCCCACTACAATGCCACCAGTGCCGCCTGTGTCACCTCAGCCCATTGACAGCAAACCAGGTGAGGCAGCAGCTGTTTTCTCCTGTTTTCTCACCTCTCTTCCTTGGGGAGAGGAGAGTGTGTCAGGTTAAAAACTGCAAACAGCCTGGCATTTATAGTGAAGGCCTCCCTGTATTACTGCCCTGCATGCTCCAGACTGAAGAGCTCAACTGTGCCTGGTACCTGCACAGCCTGATATAGGGCTGCTTCCACACTGTGTTTCTCGAGCAAGGAGCTCAAACAGGCATTCTTCCTCAGGACATTGTGATCAAAGTCTGGCTTCCCTTTTTGATTGATGTGTTCTTTACCCTCAGTGTCTGCGGTGAAGCCGGCTGCAGCCCCAGCAGCAGCCCCTCCTGGGGAGGCAGTGCCCAGCAAAGGTGCCAGATCAGAGCATAGGGTAAGCTGTGGGAACAGGGGCCCTGCCAGCACATCTGTTGCTGAGTGACAACTTGTTCTGGCATAAGCCTTGAGCTTTCTGGATGTGTCCCTGTCTCTTTTTTCACACCCAGCTCAGTGGAGCTGTGGTAGATGGGGAAGTGGCCTTCATCAGGGCACTGCTTAGGGATGGGGTGGAGAAAGAGCCAGGTCCAATCTGACACAGGTCTCTTCTAGTCTTGTATTGAGCTCTCCAGATTAAGCAAGGAAAGGTTCAGTGTGACATGCTTGATCTGTCCACAAGCCCTCAGCAAAGGACTGAGGCTGTTGCACCTGCCTTGTGTGTTCTTAGGAGAACATGATTGAGCTGCCTGCTTTCTTAGTAGTCTTTCTCATTTCACACTGGCCTCACGCTGGAAACTGTGTGTTGAGCTGGGCAGCTCCATAGTGAAATAAACTCCTTGGCCTGTCTTGCTCCTCAGGGACAGCTGGAGTGAAAACCTTGGCCCTAGGCATCCATTACTAATCCATCAGATGGCAAGAAGAGCCTTTTGAGTTTGTTCTGCATTTTACCCCTTGGATGAACTTGAGCAGAGTCTGCTTATGTCTTTTTAATTTTCAGGTGAAAATGAATAGGATGCGTCAGCGTATTGCTCAGCGGCTGAAAGAAGCTCAGAATACTTGTGCCATGCTGACCACTTTCAATGAGATCGATATGAGGTGAGGAGGAGACCTCTTTTTTCCTTTACAAGTAGAAATAGATGCAAGCAGTCATCTTTAAATTGCAGCCAAGACATTACTGATTCTCTTTGGAGAGATTGACAGCACATCTTTTGGGACCTCTTTCGTAGGTGTGTACCACCATCTGCTCAGCATCATCAGAGCCATGCTGGTGGTGTGATATGAGGGGTACATAGCTTCCTAATGGCCTGTCATTCCTCAGAAGTCCTCTGCTGCTTGTGAAAGGGGCAGCCTGGTTCCTCATCTGTGTAGTTCTTGGTTGAGGACTGGTAGATATTGAGCAGAAGCAACTAGTGTCACTTGTATAGTGGCTGTCAGATGGTGCAGCTTCCCAGAGGCAGGCGGGGGTCTCTTGACTCGAATGCTTGCACAGACTGAGCCCACTAATGGCTTTGGAGGGTGGGCAGCTTATGTTACAGTGCATTAAGGGGAAATTGTGCCCAAATCAAATTGCCTTGTGAAATCCTATTCTGCTCCTTAAGACAAAACATGTAAATATTTGGGTCTCAGAACAATAAGGTTGGCAAAATAGTCTTGATTGGAGGGGAAGTGCTGCAGCTTTATCTCCTCTCAGAGGCTCATTGAGGTGTCGCTTTACGCTGGCCTCGGGCTCTCGTTGCGTCTGGTAATCTGGTTTGGATTGATTGCTGTGAGGTTGACTGGTGAGGGCCTGTGCTGGGGCCTTCTGCTTTTCGAGGTGGGGGGGGTCAGTGTCTGAAAGGAGGAAGCCTTAATGAGCCCGTTTCATAGCAAACCTCGTCCTCATTGCTGCAGTCCTTGCGTCTTGGGAGGCACTAATGTCTTTGGGCAGTAATCCTAGCCCTCAACAAGGTTAGGTGCAGGAAAACAAACACTCTAAACCATGGAGACCCCTGCCCCTTGCTGAAACTGTCTCTTCAAAGATTCAAGGTCTCTGGAGGGTGGGCAAATGCACTATGCAATTCCACAGCGTCTGGTATTAGCCTGGAATAGACAGAGCTTGTACTGCCATGGCACCTGGGAAGATTTCTGTCATATTCACTGAACTCTCAGAGCTGAAGAGTTGGGTGCAGAGGCCGTGTTGTGCTGGCTGGTGCTGGACTTGCACAGTGATTGAAGTCTTTTCCCTTGATCATCGTGTGCTTCGATTCTCTCTTGATATCTCCAGCTTTTCCACCCTTCTGGGCTTGACCCAGCCACACCTGGAGTGCCACACCAGTATCAGCATTGGTGTCTCCAAAAAACTGATGGCAACATCAGGCCTAAGCAGGAAATACGCTGTGTTTCGTCTTGTGTCTGTGCCTGGCACTGTGGGCCATGCAGGTTAACCCTGTCCTCCTGAGTTTGTGATGCAGGACCTTGTCAGATCCTTTGGCAGGGGCCTTACAGCCACCTTCAGCCCACTTCATCTATGACATTTGAAGAATTTTTCATGAGATTAGGGGTTTGCCAGTTGATGTTGCAGCTTTGCAGTCCTTGGGGCTAGCACTGAAATCTATTACAGAGCGAGGGAGCAATGTTTTTCTGGACTCCCTGTTGACCAGCGTTATCGTGTGTTTTGCAGCAACATCCGGGAAATGAGAGCTGTACATAAGGACCCCTTCCTTAAAAAGCACAACCTGAAGCTAGGTTTCATGTCAGCTTTTGTGAAAGCTGCAGCTTTTGCTCTACAGGACCAGCCCGTGGTGAATGCAGGTGAGTGATGACCCTTGCGTGTCTCACCAGTGAATGTGGCAGAGCAGGGGAAAGCAGGTGGCCAAGTCCAAGGCAGGGCTGATAGCTTGGACAAGCAAGTCAAGCGTGAAGGGAAAAAGGGGACAAAGTCCTGTGGGCTGCAGGTGATTTTGCTTAATGCCACTTATGTAGGTGGAGACAGCTTGCCAAGTGGAGCTGTGTTAGGAAGGGGTTGCCAGGAGTGGGGCTGTGCATACACAGCAGAGCCTGCCAGTTGGCATAGGGGTAGCTGCTGTAGGTACGATGCAGTTCCTGGGGGTGTGTCAGAGGTACTTGCTCAAACCCAGAAGAGGAGAATAACCAAGGCAATGTCTGAGGGGGACTGGCTTATCTGGGCTGTTTCCCTTTTCTCTATTGTGATGTTTCTCCCACAGGTGCAGTGAGGGCTCATTCTTCTCTGGAGTTATATTTAAGCTAGAGATGAGCAAGTTGTGAAAATTTTGTGGCTACTTCTGGCCTATTGAGCCCTTGATCTTGGGTACTGCATACGTAACACAGCTTTTTTTCTCCTTCTAGTGATTGATGACACGACCAAAGAGATTGTGTACAGGGACTATGTGGACATCAGCGTCGCTGTAGCAACTCCGCGGGTAGGTGCCTTGGATGCTTTGGCCATGCTTCCTGCAGCCTCAGGTCTGGGGTGGTTATATGCTTTTGAGCCAGCTCAGCTTTGAGCTCTGCTGCAGCAGAAGCCTACTGATGAGACTGATCTTCTAAATGAGACATCTGATACACTGTGGACTGCTGAGGTGGGTTTTGGGAGAAAATGGAGAGCTGAGAATATACTGCCACTGTGCTGGAGATGTAGTAACAAGGTCAATAGAAGGAGGGCCAAGTTAGGGAAACCCTTGTTTTTCATGGACCCATGAGGATATGGCACAGACAGTAAAAGCTTTGCATGTCCTGTACTTTGGCTAACCCTGCTATGCTGTCCCACCATTTCTGTAAATAACGTTGTTGTTTCAAAGAGATGTTCCTGTCCAGGGAGAGTGCTGGATGGATTTACAGGTGTTGAATTAGTTGCTTCTGTTGGGAGGCAGAGGTTTGGCCAGGACTGAAGTTCTGTCACTGCTCCCGAAGTCTAGGGGAGGTCAAGCACAAAGGGACTCTGCTCTTCTTACCTAGAAAGAGGTGGGAGCTGAACTCTGCCCAGTGCCTCACGTGCTTTTATGGCCATGGAGCTGGATCCAGACAGGCTTGGTTCACTTTATGAGTTGGACTTACAAAGGCAGAGAAGTTATCTCACTGTGTCAGTGCTTGTCGTGCCAGGTTTCCCGGCAGGCTGCCAACCACCTGCTGTGGGCTGAGGAGGAGGCAGGAACTCTTCTGGGCTGAGGCCAGGCTCCTGCCCTATAAAAGTTATCTGCGTGTCGCTGCAGTGAATTTGCTGATCATGCACTTTGCTTCTCCCTAGGGTCTTGTGGTCCCTGTCGTTAGGAATGTAGAAAACATGAACTTTGCTGACATAGAGCGTGCTATCTATGAGCTGGGGGAGAAGGTAAGGAAACATAAGAGGTTTTTCTGAAAAAGGTTGGGAGGAGTGGGAAAAATTGGGGATGCTGGGTAGGCATGAATTGATTCGGTCCCTCCATGTCATCATCTCTGACACACAGAGTCGTGCTGTGGAGAGTGATCCAGTTACAGCTGTAGCTGTGCCTTATAGGACAGGCCTGTCTACTTGTTGCCCTTCCAGAAGACAGCAAACTCTGCGTTAGTGACATGGTGTGTCTCCACCTTTGTCTTTAGAGGCCAGAGCTGAACTCCCCTAGGGTAGAATTCCCTGTGTCTGCCTGCTGCAAAAAAGAGTTGGAAGCAAAGGCAAGAGAGTAATTCCCAAAAGCCAGTAAATGTTCAACTCTAAAGACAGGATGTGTTTTCAAGTAATTTGTGATGGTTTTCAGCTGAGTAGATCAATAAGTGAAACTCTTGCCATCAGCATTTATTCCTAGAGAGACTGAACATCCAAACCCTTCTCCTTTGCCATCTGTGATCTGTGTGGCTTTCTAAGAACTTACTCTTTCTTCTAGGCACGGAAAAATGAACTGGCCATTGAAGACATGGATGGTGGCACTTTCACAATCAGCAATGGAGGGGTTTTTGGGTCACTTTTTGGGACACCTATCATTAACCCACCCCAGTCTGCCATCTTAGGCATGCATGCCATCTTCGACAGGCCTGTGGCTGTGGGAGGCAAGGTAAGTGGAGCTCTGCAGGAGGTTTCAGTGAACAGGGGAGGACTCAGTGGGGTGAGGACCATAGCTCATATGCTTTTTCTAGGGAGTTGGTGTCAACTTCTAAAAGGCTTTACAGTGAAGGAGGAGTAGAGTCTAATGGGTGTAGGGCAGCTTTGCTGGCACTGGTACTTGTCTGAAGTGTGCAGGGAGCCTTATCATATCTGTGAGGGGGAGGACTGGATAATCTCTGTAGGCATGGGGAGCAGGAGGAGGTTGTAGCCTTTGTGATAGAGAACAGTTCCAGAAAAGGACCTGGTCTTGTGTGGCGTGGGCCCAGCCTGGCTGGTGGTCAGTGCCTGGGCAAGTGAGGGTGAGTGGGTAATCCTGCCAGGCAGGACACATCCAGGAGGGCCTGAGCCATGGATTCAGGATGGGAAAAAGCCAGGTCTTCCCTGAATTCACAGGAGAGCATCTTGCAGACAGTAGGGCTGAGCTCACTGATGCCTGTCTTATTCCTCCCGTTCAGATCGAGGTGCGGCCCATGATGTACGTGGCGCTGACGTACGATCACCGGCTGATTGACGGCAGAGAGGCAGTGACTTTCCTGCGCAAGATCAAGGCAGCGGTGGAGGATCCCCGCGTGCTGCTGCTCGACCTATAGAGCAGCTGCACCCCCACACAACCCACCCAGGGCAGGGCCGCAGCACCAGCAGGAGCCACGCAGGGCATTCAGGAACTGCAGGGTCATTCCGGTCTCCCTCCCTCTGCTGTGATCGGAGCTCTCCCAGAGGGAATTGTGGGGATAGCTCCTACCTCCTTTCCTGTTCTGTTTAACAAAGGTTCAGTTTCTCACGAGGATCGCTATGCAGTGGGCCGACCACTGAATGGCACTGCCTTTCCAGAGCTATCTGTATGGCATCCTCTCCCTCACAGCACCAAACTCTCACCTCTAGCTTGTCCTGTACCAGTGGAAACTGCTTGCTGCTGCTGTGCTAGGGTACCCTTTCCTGCCACTCCAAGGCAGGTTCAGCTTTATTTCCTAGCACTGAGGTTCCTGGGAGGGAGAGGAGAGGAAAGGCTACTGTTCTGTCCCTGTTTTGCTTGAAAATATTTCACACTCATCTGCCTTGGAAGGGCAGTCTGGGGACCCCCAGGCCGCTTGCAGCAGAAGTTTTGATCAGAGCAGGGCCTGAGGTAGGCGTCACGCCTCTGGCAGTGCCCTAGTTACACTCCCTCCACAGACAGGATCGCAGCAGTGGCAGCTCCCCTGCTTTCACATGGACATTGTTTGTCTCTCTTCAGCCTGGTCACTGTGGCGTGAATGTTCATGTCTGGGTGGGCAGAGCCCGTCACCTCTGTGGAGGTAGCACTGTTCCTGGGGGAACAACCCTTTCACCATTACATGCCCGACACAGGGGTAAGAACCACCCCCCCTGCGGCTGTCCTTCAATCACAGCTCCCTGGTGGTGGATCTGACTGCTGGCTTCCTGCTCGTGAGGGCTTGGCCTGCTACCAGCAAAGAGACATCTGGGGAGGGCCAGGTCTTTAAGTGTAATGTATATCCCAGCCCAAGGCTGCTGGTTTTGGGGGGAGGGGGGCAGTCCTTAATCCAATAGCGCACACATGTATTGGGGAGTGAGGGGGTTGCTAGTGCCTGCAGAGTCTATTACTCTTACCCTCTACACAGAACTTGTAACTAAAAATATTTAACACAGCGGATTTTAAATGAAATAAAAACTGGGCAACGACTGCGAGCTGGGGTGCGTTTGAGGGGGTGAGCAGCAGCTCCTGGGCAAGGACTGGAGCATTGACAGCATCCCTGTGTCGTAAGAAGCCTGTTAACTGATGGTGAGAGAAAAGAGGATGGGAGCTGGGCCTCACCCTGGTGCTAGTAAATTGGGTCTTCTCTGGCTGTGAGTTCTGCTGTCCTCAAACCCTCTGGCACAGAACTGGCTCTTCCCAGCAATGAGGTTTTCGGGGCTGGAAATCCTTTTTGTGGTCTAGCAAACAATAGCAAAGAAATCCCAGTGTTTGCTAAACAGCGTGATGGCCCAGAGGGAGAACTGGGACAGGCTTTTAGAAGTACAGCTGCAGGGTCAGTTTGGTTTTCCCGATATAACAGGCGTGTTGTAAAGCATGAAAGTGGGAAAAGGACTGTTAAGAGTTGCAGAGAGACAGAGGCAGCAAGATTTAAGCACTGTAAAGCAAAAGCTGTCTGTGGTGCTGAGAGCATCTCCCTAAGGAGCTGTCCCTGTTGGAACAATCTGAAATCGTTCCTGGATGGTGGCAGGGTTTTTCCAGCTCTGACATCAACTTCAGAGAATAGTTTGCCCTTCCTGACTGTGAGTGAAGGGAGCCCCTTTTTACAGAAAACCACTGCGTTCCCAGCTGGCGTGCTGACAACAGGGAGAGCAGTTCCTAGTACTGGTTCCTAGGGCTTCCTGGCAGCTATGGACAAACCTGTGCCTGGAGTCGGCTCCCCTCTGCCTGTCCCTGGCTGAGGTAGAGGGGTTGGAGGAGAGGGAGGAAAAACCCCTCCCTGTGCTGGAAAGGAAGTGCAGTGACTCCAGCTGCTCTTGCACCAATCAATTGAATGTAAGAGAAGGTTCTGAACAAAAAATTGCTGCTAGCACCCAGTACCTCGTGCTGGTTTAAGATACAGAGGGCTCACCGTGACTTTGTACACAAATCTGGGAAGGGCGATGCCTGTATTTTGGCCAGAGCTGCAATAAATGAGACCTTCGATCTATCCAGGGAGTGAATGTACAGTCCAGCTTTTAAAGTGATGCTGCCTAGCAACTGCTTTATTTAATCTGCCCTCTTGGGGTTGCTGTAGGAGGGTCATGCAGCTGCTGTGCGTGAAGCTTCCTGGGTTTTTCTGACCCTCCTGAGTCATGCTCTGGGCACTTTGTTGGCACAGGCCTAAGAGTCAGCCCTGCTAAACCTGTACTGACTGAGGTTGGCAGCCAAGGTGGGTCCCTGTGGCTAGAGGGTTCAACAGTGCAGGCTGCCCTGGAGAGGAATAGCCCCAGGCTTAGCTGCTCCCTGCATCTGGCGTTAGTGGTCAGCTCCTTGCTCAGTTCTTTTGCTTCTGCACAGGCTTTGGGGTGTCCCCTTCCTTTTCTGGAGTGGGAGATGAGTTTCTCCCGGGCTCTGCTTCCCTCTGGTGGACAAGAACCAGGCTGTCAGCAAGGAGCAGGCGGCTGCTGCTGGTGGCAAGTTAGTTAGCCACAGGAAAGCTTCACTGGTGCCAGTAATTCCTCACTATCCGGGATGAGTGAGCAATAGGAGCGCGTGCAGGGAGAGGAGGGCCAAAACTACCCCACTGCCATCTCTAGCTCAGCCATGCACAAATGAGCACAGCGCTGGGCTGGCAGCAGACACCGTTTGCTCACACTGCTTTTTCTTCCATCCTGGTTTGTATTTACTCATATCCTCCTCCTAGCACTGCTAATTCCTAGAGTTCAGCCCTGAAATGCTCACTGTTTGTTCTACCAGGAACAACCATGTCCAAAGCCCAGCGATGAGGGCAGCGGGGCTGCTGTCCGGCCAGCACAAAGGAGCACCCAGGCATGAGCGGCTGGAGCCAGGTTGGGTAACGATGGCAAAGATCAAGGCTGGAGGAAGACACAGGTACTCTGCAATTTCCCAGCTCTGAGCTGCAGCCACATGGCTGTGCAGCTCCAAGAGGCCATGAGGCAAGCAGGGACACAAGGGGAGATGGTCACACACTTGGTGCCACCATCTGGGTTTTGGCTTTGGCTGCTGGGTTATGCCAAGCCAGGGCTCCCAGGCAGCTTTGAGACAGAATTGGGGCCCTCCCTCCCTCCCTCAGCTCAGGCCTCCCTGGTGCAGGTCAGAAACAAAAGGACACTTTTGCTAGCAATAACAAGTGGTTTATTCTTTCCAGTGAGCTGGGGAGAGAAGAGCAGAGGGCTCCTGCCCATCCTGTCCCCACAGCAGACATTACCCACACACTCATGCAGCCAGGGATGGGCACCAGACAGCAGCGCCTGGAGCAGATGCACTTGGAAGCCACAAAAAATAACAGAGGAGGGCAGGGGGTGTCACTGTGATAGCAGCAGAGATAGAAACCACAGGGAGGGAGTCCCAGGGCACGGTGCTAAGCTGAGCAAGGCATGCCCCAAAGGCAGAGCATGGCCTCTCCACAGCAGTGGGCACCTGGGCTCCCTTCCCCAGCAGGGAGGGCCTAGAGAAGACAACCAAACCACAGCCTCCTCCCTCAGAGACACCAACAAACACAAGCAGAGACAGAACACCTACGGCTTCAAAACCTCATGCGTGCCCCGTTCCAGGGCCACCCTTGCAGCAAACCTTCCCCAGCAGTGCCACCCGGGGCCACACACGCCAGGGACGGTGGCTGTGCCCAGCTCCCTGCAGGGAGGCCAGCCTGCCTAGCCCACCAGCTTGGCCCATGGGATGGTGCTGAAGAAGGAGTGGGACTTCAGCTTCGCCATGCCGCCTCCTCCAGAGCCCAAACGCTGCTTTGGGTTGTACTGTAGAAGCTGCAGAGAAAGGGGATGGGACAGCAGGATGAGGAGATGGGAACATGGGAAAAGCTACCCAGGCTGGACTCTTTAGACCCACCCTCCCCCCACCCACCCCAGCCCCTCACCTCGGTGAGCAGCGATGTAGCAGCCAGGCTGAGTCCCTCTGGCAGATGCAGCTGGGTGTGAGGTTGAATCCCTGAAGGATGGTTTTGGGACAGCGGCTGCAGGAGGCAGAGGGGGATGGTAAGCACGGGCAGTGATGAGGGCAGGAGCACCCTGATGAGCCTTCATTGCCACACAACGCCAGCACTATGCAGCAGGATTTAAAACCTGGGGCTCTGGGCACCCAGAGGCCACGCATGGGGGATTCATACGCCTGAAGTACCCTGGCACAGTGTTGAGGTGCTGGCAGGACAAGGCGCCCTCCCAGCCCTGCATGGCAGGGAGCTCTCACGCTACGGTGTCACCTCCTCCTCCCCCTCCTTGCACAGCTCCTCTGCCCCTTACCACTCCTGTCAGCAGCTCGTACAGGAGAGACCCAAAGCTCCAGCAGTCGGCTGCTTCAGTGGGCTCCATGATCCCCCCGACTTCTGCAGAAAGAGCCAGAGAGGTGATAGAGCTGGAGGCAGGCAGCACCAGTGGCTGTGCTGCGCTGGGCACGTCTCACTGCCTGCGGAAGCCCCCTTGCCCCCAGTTGGCAGCACTGGGGCGAGGGCAGGAGAAGGCAGAGGACACATCCCTTACCTGGGGCACTGTACAGCTCCTCCCGTGCCTCACTGCAGCACTGAGGCTCCACCTCTGTCCACTGCCCAAAGAAGGTGAGACGGACGTGACCTGCAGAGGCAAAATCAGGGAGGTTAGGACAAAGCTAGGGACCTTGGCTGGAGCACAAAGCCCAGCCATATCCCCACAACTGCGAACAGCCAGGGCACTGGACCCTGCCGTGCCCTGAGCGCAGAGGCACTGCGCATCCCCCGGCCTCCCAGTGCTTGCCCGAGGGGTGGGCTCCAAGCTCACTCACCTCAGTGCAGGCTGCAGTGAGGAAAGAAGCAGTTTTTAAAAGGAGGGAGGTTAGCTTTCCACTTGCAAAACTCTCTGCATTTTTCTTCTCCCAGGCAATTTGTACCTCTCCAGTTTGTCCCAGCTGAGCAGGGACTTGCACTCACCTTTCACTGACAGTGGTGCCCATGGCTCAAAGAGATGGGATGGCTCCACAATACCCCAGTGGACAGTAACTACAGGCAGGGGAAACTGCAGTCCCACAAACCTCAGGCACAACTCAGCTGGTCCCAGCCTCCCCGTGCTGGGATTTCCCAGGCAGCCAACCCTGACATGGGAGCAGGGCCAATGCATTCCTGTGGCTACACACTCACAGAGTGGGCTTGGTTGGAAAAGACCTTTAAGATCATCGAGTCCAACCATTGAACCAGCCCTACTGAGTCCACTACTCAACCATATCCCTAAGCATGCCATCTACTCATCTTTTAAGCACCTCCAGGAATGGTGACTCAACCACCTCCCTGGTCAGACCGTTCCAATTCTCGACAACCTTTTCAGTAAAGAAATTCCTCCTAATATCCAACCTAAACCTCCCCTGGTGCAAATATGGCCCCTGACTCTCCTATTACAGAGCGATCTCTTGTAATAACTGCTTGGAAATCCCAACTGAGACCACACTTCCAGGCTCAGAAACATCCAAACCTCCCCAGACTCCTGCCTTCCCTCAAAGTAAACTCAAGAAAGTCCATGTCTCCTGGAAATGGGGCAAACAGCAGTCGCCCAGCCAAGAGGCCAACCACCTCCTCCTCGGGGCACTACCTACCGGCAGCATCAAGCAGCAGGTTCCTGGGGTTGAGGTCCCGGCACAACACACCCTGTTGGTGAAGTCCCTCCAAGGCCAGGAGGATTTCTGCTGCCCACAGCTGCACCTGCTCCTCCTTCACAGCCCACGCTCTCTGGCCATGCCCATGGGAAGTCAGAGATCGGCTCTGTCCTGATGGTGCCTGCTCTCTGAGCCGGCCATGGGTCAGGCTCGCTCCCCTTACCACTGGGTCAGGCCTGTGGGGCTTGCCAGAACCAGACAGGGAAACTCCTGAATGAAGCTGCCTCTGACCCGAGGTCAGGAGGGGCTGAGTACAGGGAACCCCAAACACTTGCTGAGACTCCCCTGCCCCTGGCTGGCCCCCTCTCACAGTCTTTGGTATGGAGGCAGGCGTTTGGGGAAGCCTGGGGTCTTGCTGGGGGGCTGCTCTCTCCAACGCACAACCCATGCCACTGGTTAGAGAATTCCAGGGGTAGACGACCAGGACCTGGCTGGGGCCTTTGACTGATGCTGCTGGAACTTGGTCCATGACGCCGGACACAGCCTGTGTCCCGCTCAGATCCTGCCCTCCAGGGGCAGCCCTCATGCTGCTGGTGGGAGTCAGGCGAAGCTGGCAGTGGTTCCTCAAGCCGGGGTCCATGAGGTCAGGGGACGGCTCCCGAGCAGGTGAGGCATCCATGTTTCCCAATACGCGGTGGGTTGCAGAGCCTGGGAGGCCACTGCCTGTCCGAGCAGAGGAGATGGAGACTTGGCTGCTGCCCTGGGAGCTTCCCACACCATCCTCTTTGTCAGGGTCCCTCAGAGCTTGAGCAGTGTTTGAATCCGCAGAGCCCTGCTGGACTCCGTACTTGGAGCGGAGGTGAGACCACAGTGTCTCCCCTGGAAAGCACAGAGAAGAAAAAGTGATGGGGCAGAAAGCACCCCTGGTTCCCTGCTGCAGACACAACCTGCTCAGACACAGGCCAAGGCCCACACACTGGGGACGTGACTGAGCATCGTCAATCTCCCCAGCAAAGCTCAAGTTCATCAGAATATCCCCCAGTGCTGCAGTCACACTTTGCTCAATGCCACTACTCCCCCGGGACCTGGCACACCAAAGGCTCATCACCCCCTCCTTTAGCAGCCCTGGTCCCCTTTTGGCACAGTCTTCTTGATCCCAGCTCTGCCAATCCCATGTCACAGGCCAGCCACATCTTCACACACACCCTGATCCCCCCTGCCATTCCCACCTTCTCCTGAAAGCCTTTCCTCCTTGAATGATGGTGTTGCTGGAGAGCTCACACAGTGTGGCACAGAGCCCATGGGTCAGTGATGCGCCACAGCAGCAAGCCCTGGAGCCCACAATACACTGCCAGGGCTTCACAGCCTCACCACATTCAGCTGCTGGCTGCTTTCTGCAAATCCATCCTACAGCAATGCACAAGGAGCTGAGACTGTTCTCCAGCACATCAGCCTTCATTGTCACTGCTGCTGCTCCCTACACATCCATGCAACCACCAGAGAGCAAAGCAGCTCCTTGGGACCAGCCTCCACCCTGTCACACTTCACCAGGATGTGAGACAAGCCCCAGGCCTCCCTCCTTGTTGTACCTGAGCCCCTGTGTGCTTTATGCCCCTTACACCCCAATTTTCCATTTCCTCTCTTTGGTTTGATCTCCAAATCTAATGTGGCCTCTTTTTCTGTAACAAAAAAATCTGTTTTATGAAGGTCTTATCAAAAGATTGCTTTGTTCTACAACAGCTGGGTGAACTACCTCACTTGGTTCTCCTTCTCCATCACTTTGCTGGCATGGACAAACAATGTCAGTAAGATTAAGTGGATTTTCTTTTCAACACACTGGGCCACATCAACCTTTTTACGTCAAGGCATGACCATTCCCTCCCATGGAACTCAGTGGTCCCTAAGGCTAATTTCCATATAGCACCCCTACACACACCACCTCTTTCTCCTTGTAGGTCTCCACAGGCCCATTTCTACGTTACTTCCCCAGTCAGCTCTTGTCAAACCTCCAGAATCCCCAATAAAGCTGAGCAGCTCCTTCCACAAAGTCTCCAAGCCCTAGTACCCATCACCCTTCTACGAAGTAGACAGCTTGTGCTGTCACTATGAAAAACAGTCCCAAACCAGCAGAAGAAACCTATTTGAGACTCTTCAAAGAAAGGAAGGCTGGGGAAAAGAGGATGCTCCACAGACGGGAGGCAATGCTGTCCCTACTCACCCTGCACGTGCTCCAGGTGGAGGAAGATGGAGTCCTCACTCACGCAGTAGCACAGCAGTTTGACCATGAAGGGGACCCCATGAGGGACGATGGTCTGTCGCTCACGGGTCTCGACATGGGATTTGGGGAGACTCTGAGGAGGTACAGGTTAGATGGATGTTACAGCACAGTGGAGGCTTGGAATCCCTGCAACCCAGCCCCTGGCAGGGCAAGAGGCTGGCCAGAAAGGTCGCGCATCATCTGCTAAACCCAACGGCTGCCCTGCTGTGTCATCTGCAGCTGAGCTCCTGTCAGTCCCCAGCACCCAGCTGTGACCAGGCCAGGCTCTGCATGTGCCAAGGCAGAGCCCTCCCCACCTGCACTGTGGGATCCAGAGGGCACTGCTGCTCCAGAGCAGTGGTCTTCCTCAACTTCCTTCGATGTGAACCCATCATCCCAGCCCTTGCTCCTCTCCCCTCTGAAACTGATGCTTCTTCCTGTCATGCCAGGGCCTTCTTTTCCAGTTATTCAAGACCTTTATTTTTAGTTCCAAGGGCACTGGAAAATGCCTTAGGACTTGTACTGAGCACCTCACCCACCACCTTTTTCAGGGACTGACCCAGATTAACGTGGGCATAAGGCTTGACTTTCAGCATTACAAGGCAGAGAAGCAGATGACAGGAGAACCACTTCTGATCACAGAAGATGGCTGAGGCAACCAAAATAAGCTTTATGAACAATGACATTCCCCTAACACTTCAGTGATCTGCTGGTTTTTGGTCCTCTCACCTGCCCCAGCAATCTCCTTGGACAAAGAGACTCTGGCAGGACAGGGAGAAGCAGGCAGACGAAACCAAAAACACCCACCTTCAGTACAAAGGTCTCACCAGTGGCCGGATCCTGGACGATCTGCACCTGGGAGCAGTATATACAGGACCGGTCAGGAGTGGTGACTGCTCCCACCCCAACACACAGCCCACAGCAACAACGCAGGGACTCAGCTCTGAAACAACAAACTCCCACCCAACCAGACGAGCCTGGTGGTGCTCAAACTCTGCCCTTGAAATACAAAACAAGGTTACTAGCAATGAGATAGCCACGGAGCCAGGGAGTAGAGAGTTAATTAAAGAAAGAGGTGGCTCCCACACCACTTTTGCTTCCTTCACAATGAAGGGTTTTGCCCTGCTCCTTCTAGGCTCTGTAGGGTGCACTGGGCGGCCCACCTGGGCCTAGGCAGGACAGGAGCACCACATCTGTCCTGACAAACCCAGATGTGTGAACAGCAGAGGAGAGCACCGTGCCAGTTTGTGTATGGAGACTGTAAGCCAGCTTCACTCCAAGATGATGAAGTACTCATTAGTTTATTCATCTGTATAGCTTGTCTTCTGCTGAAGCCTAGGTTACCCATAGGAGTCCACCATCATGGTACCTAGGCATGAACCATGACTCTATGCATGGGAAAGAACCAGATGCATCAACCTCCTTCCTTGTAAACATCTTGGGAGATCTCGTAAGCAAAAGGAACGGGGACATTAACAGACTTCCCAACTAAGCCCTAAAGGCTCTTGCATCCTCTCCTACAGTTTTTCCTTGGTAGGAATGGTGTGGATGAGGGTTACCCTCATGTTCCTTCGTGGATGCACTCCCACCCCAGCTGCCAGGACCCTCCAGGTTCCACTCCCCTTTGGACCAGCACCAGCCTCCCCCCCAGTTCCAGGTCGAGCCATTACCTTATCGATCACTCCCACAACCTTGCACCGTCTCAGGTTCTCCACTGCCGAGCTCAGAGTCCTGATGGGCCGGAACCGCAGGCTGCTGTAACCCTGCAAAGTGGCGAGAGAGGAGGATGAGGACCTAGAGGTGCTACTGTCCATGGGAGCAGGTGGGAGGAGTCCCCTCATTTTTCAGAGGAGGCAGCAATACTGCCAGACTGGTCAACATCCAGACACAACGCTCCACCAGCCATGGTTGATTCCTAACATCAGCTGGACCATTTTCTTGTCCAGCTCCTGGATTTCTAAAATTTTCAGGGAAAGCTTGCACCTGCAGCACATATAAAAATCACTCCAAAATTTGTACCTGGACTGCTTCAACACTAAGGGGATCTGTATGGAAGGCAGTTGCCTTCTTCCTCTCATCCTCACCAGGCCCCAGCCCTGCCCCACCTCACTCTCCTCTCCCTTCATTACCCATCATCTTCTTACAGTGCAGCAAGCAGCCATCACCTTTGGTTTCCATCCAGATGGGAACAATAACAGGGAAGATGACGTTTTCAACATCTGGCAAGGTGCCATCCACAGTGGCTTCAGACCCACCAAAAATGCCCATTTTCACTACGGTGGCAGCAAGCCAAACACACGCACACCTTGGGGGGGTTCCTGGGAGCACCCCAGGCAAGCTTGGCCCACCTCAGCTCTTTGACGCAGGCAGGATGAAGTGCTGCCAACCCCCTCACAGCCGCCAGCACGCTAGGACACTCTGCAGCTGATGTGTCTGCCATTTTTTCTACATCACCTCACTGTGGCATCCGGCAGAGGCAGTCGAGGAGGCTCCCCAAGGCTGCCTTATGTGTCCCCCCCACATTCCCCAGTGCCACAGACCCGCTGTCATCCCACCCATGCTTCCCCACACCAGCCCCTCACCGTGGCGGTGGGATTGCCACCCCCTGCAGCCCGCTGGAGGTGGCAGTTGAAGATCTCCTCTGCGCGCCTCAAGTACTGCGTGATCTTCCGCTTCACGGCCTCCCGACGCTCCTTGTTGGGGTCAACTGCAGTCAAGACAGAGGGTGGGTGTGAGGGGCCTGCCACACTCCCCAGAGGGATGCCCTGGTCCCATTGCAGCGCTCTCAGCAGGGATGCTCTGGCTCCTTCGCCCCACCCCCCTCACTGCTCTCCCCAGAGGGCTGCCCCAGTCTCCTTGTCATTCTCCCTGGAGGGATATCCCAGTGCCCTCACATACCCTAGATGAATGGCCTGGTCCCCTAGCCGTGCTCCCTAAAGGGATGCCTTAGCTCCCTTGCTGGTGTTCCCAGAGTGATGCCCTGGCCCCCCGGCCATGCTCCCTGGAGGGGTGCCCCAGTCCTCCTGACCGTGCTCCCTGGAAGGATGCCCTGGTCCCTCACACTCCCCAGATGGATGGCCTGGTTCCCTGGCTGTGCTTTCCAGAGGGATGTCCAGGCCTTCTTGCTGGTGTTCCCAAGAGGGAACGCCCCAGTCCCTCCCTGGTCCCCTTGTCATTCTCCTCGGAAGTATGCACCAGTCCCCTAGCCATGTTCCCCAGAGGGATGCCACGTCCCCCCTGCTGGTCTCCCCAGAGGGATGCCCTGGTCCCCTTGTCATCCTCCCTAGAGGGATGCCCCGGTTCCCTCACGCTGCCCAGACGGATGCCCTGGTATCCCCGGAGCGATGCTCCAAGCCCCGCGCCGTGCGGGGAGGCCGGGCGCACCCTGCACGCCGCGGAGCAGCACGTCCACGCCGTTCTGGTAGTGGTTGAAGGCCTCCTCGTAGTCCTCGCTG